ATTTGCCCGCGGGAATCAAAAGTGTCCATGGCCTTTTTGCCCGCGGATGCACTCATCTGCGGGCACTTTTACAGTTATGAGGCTGTGAGGTCGTACTATGGTACGGTAGTCTTGAACCCTGGTTGTTTGGCCTTTGTTTTTGGGTACTCATTCCAAATCACCACAGTAACGCCGTATACTCACCGGATACTCGCGGGAGCTCTGGCCGCCACCCGCCGCCGTGTGAACTGCAGCCTCACGTTTCACTTCCTGCGGGCACTTGACAAACGTGGATTTGCCTGTCGTGTGAATCGCCTATAAGGGGTCGTCCGCAATTATCGAAAGTTTTTTCCAATCCGTAGTAGCTTCGAAAGTGGGTGGGTGGGTCAAGGACAGTTACGGATTGAAAAACTTCCGAAATGACACGTGCGCGTGCCACGTGTACGTCTACGTGTAGCCCCTGTTTTCCACGCGCGGCTGCGCGCGAACTGTCTACTACAAATATTTTTGTAGTTCTGGCAGTTTCTGCGCCCACGCGCGCGCTTCCTTGGCTGCTCCTGGGCCGGGGATCATAAAGTTCGGCGCATTCGACGGCGAGTCGACACTTTCTATTTTTGAGTTTCACTGTCTCCTTCGTCCAGAGTACCGTCTGCCATGCACTCCTTTGAAGTCCTTCCGTCTAGCGCTGGCGCTGACGACTGTTATTGACTATGTCCAGACAGGCGACGTTGTTTGGAAAGGCGGTGAAGAAGCAGCCCTTTTTCAAAACCGCTGGTGACTCTGATTATTACAGAACAATAAATTGCTTGTGGCAGTTGTCCAAGACGACGAACAAGGATGTATTCTTTGCCGAAGCGAAAAAGGAATGGACGAGTTTGTTCCATATGTGTTGGGTTGTGTGTCCATCAATAATATTTTATTACGGACTTGGGGGGTGGGTGGGTGGGTGAGGAAAAACAGTGCTGGCAACTGAAATCCGACCCCCTGGGCGGCGCGCCGCGCCGCCCAGGGGGTCGGATTTCTGTTGCCAGCATGCATGTGCGAGCGTACATAACAGTGTACTCTTTTTTTTCCACTTCCACTTTTCCACTTCCACTTCATATTGTATCCTGATGATGGCAATATTGTATCCTGATGATGGCAATGGATTATTTGCCGAAACGTTGAAAATGATTCTGTGAAATGAAATGAGTTGTGAATTTGCAGTGCCCAGGGAATGAGCATGTGTGCTCACCAAAGTCTCTTTTTTTCACTTGTTAAAATTTTAATAAAATATTTTTTCCAAGGAAAAAGAAAGTGCAAAACATTATATTTGAGCTGGAGAGTGGAGTGCATGCTGGGCAATGGCGGACTGAAAACTACTACCAGTACATGTAGACTCTCTTTACATTGTACACGCATACATATTGTTAGATTGACAGCATGAAACAAGGTGGAGGACACTGTGTTCGGAAAACTGATACTGGTATTTTAACCAGTGTTAGGTTGTAGTAGCAGGATGAAAAGAGCACAAATGAATCCAATACAGACAAAACCTTCCTTCCTGCTCTCCTAGGCCGCCCCGTCAATGCTGAGGAGCGCACCCTGATAGCATTGCCATGTCGCTTTCATTGCGCGAAATCACGCGACACCTGTACATTTTCGATCTGCGGGATGAAGATGACGACGTCCATGCATCAGGTATCAGGGGGTAGTAAGATACTGGTATATTACTACTCCACGCCTCAAATTGTGCTGCCAAGCGTATGCGGGGGAGTGTAGCATGCCATCCCTTACACTTTCCAGCTCAGGGTTACCCTCGCTACCAATGGACGAAATTTCAGGGTCACAGCTTGCGCAACGGCTTTGTCCTGTTCGAATGGCCACTCGACATACTCAGCACAAATTTTCTATTGCATGCATGCACAAAATGTTCAACTTTCGTATTTTTGGCGACTTTACCACCGTCGTGGAGGCTGGTTGGTGAGGAGCAGGTAGCCATCCCTTGTGGAATCAAACACATGGTTCCACAGTGTGGCTGATTCCGCAAGAGCCAGGTCCATACGAGAAACATTCGCTTTGTCTTTTGCCATCGAAGTAAGTCACTTTCCTTGTTCTCAGTGTTTTTTACGTTCAACGTTTCTGAGATTTTTGAATTATTCACTTTTCATTCTTTCATACTTTATTTCTTCATGTTCCTCACTTGCCTTCTGATCTGGAGAATGTGATGGAGGTGACTGTTGGTTACTGCCTGGTATAACGGTTGTCGTGCTGTTGCTGTATTTCCGTCCTGGTCGCGACGTTGTAGATCACAAACAATTTGAAATCACATGAATTGTACTTACCGTCGTGCGTGCGGTATTAGGAAACACTGTGCAGATTAGATCGTCGCAATGTATCTATATGTGTGTCTGGTCATCCTGTGCCACGCAAGAACTCCAACCAGACGCATTCGTCCTCGGCCCTGTTGATCGATTGTCCACTCGTCTTTTATTTCCTTGAAGAACGATCGATCAAAAAAAATCGAGCTCGAGGACTTTTTGCAAAAAAACGGCTGAAAAAAGGAAGAAAAAAGGGTGCTCAGAATGAGATTCGAGTACACAACCAAGGTCCCAGCAGTTTATGTGGATGTCGCTCATAGATGCGCGATTTCGCGCAATGGGAGGCCTTGGCATACCTCATCCGTCGTCCCGGGCCGAACAGCACCCGCTGGCAGTCCTCCCTTGACATCACTGCCTCCCTCCGTGACCTGCCGTGTTCTGGCCCAAGATCCAGTTCTTGGCACGGCCATCCATGATGTTCGCGCTGCCAAGAAGCGCGTGATGGCGACAGCCGGGGAGTCAATTCGCGCAGCAGCCCAGGCCTTCTCTTCCTCCGCCAGTTCAGAGCTGCAGCGAGTGATCGCTCTGGCTTCGGCACCGGGTGCCTCAAGCTGGCTCACGTGCCGACCCCTTCAACGCCATGGCTTCACCCTGACGAAGTCGGAGTTTCGGGATACTGTTTGCTTTCGCTTCAACTGGCTGCCGGTCCGTCTACCATCACTGTGTGCGTGTGGGCAGCAGTTCACTGTGTCTCACTCCCTCTCGTGTCCGACGGGTGGATTTCCGTCCATTCGTCACAACGAGGTGAGGGACCTCACTGCTCGTCTGCTCAGGCGGGTGGCCCACCAGGTGGCAGTTGAGCCACACCTCCAGCCACTCTCCGGAGAGCAACTCCGTTTTCGCACTGCTATTGCTGACGACCAGGCACGCCTAGACGTCGTGGCTAGTGGCATTTGGGGAGGACGGTTCGAACGCACCTACATTGATGTACGGGTATTCAACCCCCATGCGTCTTCGAACCGTTCCAACTCACTTGCTGCTACCTATGTCCGTCGTGAAAAGGCTAAGCGTCGTGCGTATGAGCAGCGCCTGAGGGAGGTGGAGCATTCCAGCTTTGTCCCCGCCATCTTCTCTACCACCGGAGGCATGGGAAAGCATGGTGCTTCGCTCTACAAACGCATCGCCTCTCTCCTCGCTGCCAAGACTGGGAAGCCGTACAGCATCACCCTATAATGAAGCTTCCATCCGCTGCCAGATTGGCTTTGCACTGGTCCGTTCAGCGCTGATGTGCCTGCGTGGTGCACGCAAGGCATTCTTACCAGCAATGGCCTCAGACTCGGCAGCGCTTGTTGTTGCTGAAGCAAGATTCTGAGCTTGAGGCTTACATTATTATTAGGGCTGAAACGATCGTGGATTTTCACCTATCGATTACTCTTGAGCTTAACGATCGATTTATCGATTATAATCGTTAGCAGATAGTGTCAGAATTTTGTGCAAACATTGCTCTGTTTCCGAAATCTAAGCCATCATAATATCACAAATTTGCATTAGTGACAGGGTAGCTCAGAAACATGGTAGTTATAAAGTCAATTTAACCTCAGAATGTGTACCATGTCCCTGGCAACTGCATACTCACAGTGGAAACTGATTTAAAACTTCACAAAACAAGGGGTATCAGTACTTTTTGGACTCAAAATCCCTAACGAGTAATCTATAACGTAACGATTACTTGATTGATAAGGAATTATCGATCGATTACCGAGTAATTGGTATAATTTTCTAAGCAAATGCGTAAAATCAGCAAACCGTCTCGTACATATCCAATCAATATTCCAAATATAGCACAGTGAGAGACTTCCCTCGGTCTTCATCTTCCTTTCCCAGCATGTGTTTTGTTCAAGAAGACTAGGTTTGTCTTTATTTTAGAGCAGTTTGTTGCTCTTCGCGATCGCTTCAGTAGCAGAAATAATGTAAAATCGCCCTTTTATGGATCCCGTTTGTGAGGAGCCTGCCGAACCAGGCCCAGAAAGTTCATGTAATAGCAGTAGTAGCGACAGCACTGGATCTGCTAATGGAGAAGAAAGCCATAAAACGACTTCTGATACAGATTATGGCATCAAATATTGAGCCGGATGAACCCAGCACAGATTCAGCTAGCAAGCGAGCAACGCTCGCTGTCAGAGCATTCTATTCTCCTGTAACGAGCAGTGCATTTCGTTCGAAGGCCGCTGCGGCAAATGCATTTGACATGAGTCGGCAGATGTTCCGACATATAGAGAAGGAACTGGAGGTGTCTGGCGTGTTGTCAAACATCAAGAGTGGGCACCTTCCTCCTCCACCTCTGCCAGATGTTCACGACAATGGTTCAGTGACCACACCATCTGCACCTGGTGGCATAATAGAGTTTTGACATGGCAACAGTGGAGGCTGCCATCAAAGCCAAATGCACACGTCCTGGTGACAATGTCAAGTATGGGACACATGGATTGGTGGGCATGTATCGTGAGGGCGTGAAATGGGCCGTGGAGTCAATGCACATGGGCAATCTGCGGAAGGATGGGCGCAGAGCATCTGAGCTGTTAGCCTTGATGAACATCAAAGTGTCTGACACGACACTTCACCTGAAGTTGAGAGAATACTGATGAGGCTTCGCTGGAACCTGATGTTACCGTCGTGAGTGTCCAGACACCATGCAGAACTGGCCAGAGAGCGAAGTTGCCAATGCGATATGAAGTCCAACTTGTGGAGTTCGTACAGAAATTACGTGCTCTGAACCTAAAGGCAGGCAAGTCGCTGATAGTTGGTGCAGCTAACCACCTCATCAAAGGAACTGAGCTAGCTGACTTGTTCAAGGACAAGCAAGTAACCTATGCTTGGTATTACTCGTTCAGGAACCGCTATGGCATTAAGATGAAAAACCAGGTCCGGCTGGAAATGGACCGCAAGAGGTGGACAACAAGTGATCACTTCTGCTCCTGGTATGAAGTCGTGATGGATGGTATGATTCAGTGTGGCATTGCTGTGAAGACCGACAGCTTCAAGGACAGTGAGCCATGTGATATCATGTTCTATGTCACCGACCCAGATATGGTTTTCGAGTGGGACCAGACGGGCTTTACTTTGGACCAGACAGACGACGGAAAGGGGCCCACAGAGAAGACAATGACCGTGGACAGTGATGATGATGGCACGTGCGTAGTGAACAAGTCCAGTGTCCGATGGACCCTCACAGGTGGCTCAATCATGAATGGTGATGCCTTGCCTGGATGTGCCACACCACCATCCAAGAGTATGCATCTCAGCCTAATGAAGGATCCCCCAAGATCCAACTTGGTCGATCCCGAAACTGGTGACCGTCGACCATGCCAGTTCTACCCGCATCCCTCCGGTGGGTTTTCGTACCAACTTGCGCCACTCTGGTTGAAAGAGGTCGTAGGGCCATGTCTCCCGAAGAAGGAAGGCAAAAAGGCATATGGGCTATGCGACGGCTATGGGGCCCATACAACAATGCCAATGGTGACGGCGGCGGAAGAAGTTGGTACGACCATTCAGTTGCGTGTGCCACACACCAGCCATGTATCACAAGTTGCTGATGTAGCGAATTTCCCTGTGTTCAAGAGGAAGGCTAAACAAAATGAAGTCGGATCTGCTCGTACAGAAAGTGCTGAAAGGAGAACCACCAAGGTTGCTGGCAGCAGATATGGTTAAGGTCATCAAGCAGCCATGGGAGGATGCATTCCATCCAGACATCAGCCGCAAAGGATGGAAGGAGATTGGCTTTGATCCCGCAACAAAAGGCTGCAACCGGAAGCTATACTGGGATCTGAGGAAGAGTGAGGAGTCTGTGTAGGAGAAGCTTGATCGGTCAAATGCCTCAGAAGTCGTTCTGGACACCAGCTGTCTACAATTTCAGCAGAATGCCCGCATTGAGTCACATTCCGACCCCTCCGACTCTTCGGATTCAGGGAATTCCGACTCTGATGCCAATGTTGACAGTCTACGTTTGGGTGGAGAGGACTTCAGGTAAGAATGGGGTAAGTTACTGTAGTTGCAGAGTGTATCCAATGAAGTAATGCATGTTGTACGCTACGATCACAACAGTAATCCTATCCTCTTCAAGTTAGAAATTGATTGTCCCAGCCAATGTACATGTATGGTGTGATGTGCTCTATTCTTTCCAACATTTAGCTGTTATGTTGTGTTGGTTTCAGGCTTGGTCCACTGACGTACGGTGCAGGACGCGCAAAACTGGAGGAGAGGCAGAAGAGGAAGGAGGAGCAGGAGACATTGCGCAAGGAACGTGAAGCGACCAAGAACGCCAAAGAGCAGCAGAAGTGCGAAGATCGTCAGCTGGCTGCCAAGGATGCAGCAAAGCTGTTGTGGAGCCACCATCACCAGGGCCTAGCACACGCACTTGGTAAACTTCAGAAGAAGCACCTTTCTGCCCTTCTGATTCTCACCAAGAGCCCGGTTAAAGGCAATGAAACGCATGGTGTGTTGGCCTCACACCTTGAGAACAAGCTCAAGAGCGATGACCTGGAGAAGCAAGACAAGAATATACGAGAGCTTGTCAACCTCTTCTACGAAATCCCAGTGTCATGTTCCCCAGCGTCAGCGTCAACAACCACGACCATCAGCAGTCTCCCGTCCCCGGCGGCCACCATGTCACCATCAGCATCCCCTGGTACATCCTTCTGGCCTAGGAGTGCTTCAACTCCACTACCCAGGGCAACGGTGGCTGCTTCACCTCGACCAGCCTTCCTGATGCAGCCTAGACTCCCACGGCCCAGCAATTACAGCGGACCCAGGCTACCAACTGGATATGCTGCTCGGCCGACACCAAGAGGAAACCCACCATCATCCACTGGATCCAGTTGAGCTGATGACCATGTGTGGCGCAGGTTTGGACACGTTCTCCTGGCGGCCCTTCGGACAATTTCTTCTTCTTTCTTATTTATTCCGGTTCATTGTTCTGTTCATAGCCCACACGCTACTATGATCTTCAAGTAATCATGCTTCTATGGTGTTGCCAGACCCGGGCCATGCTCTATTTCAATTGTAATGCACATGTTGTGGTTCTTTACAACTTTTTGGTTTCAGTGGATGCTGGGAAGCCACTTCTTTAGAGCTCTAATTGCTTGCGGAAGACTTTGGTTTTTTGGCATTAGTACTTGTCACTGTTCTAGCATGTACATGTATGTGTGTAGAATGGAAGAATGCGATGAAATAACACTAAACATAGTCATTTTACACAATGCTTAGAATCTAAAACGTTCATATTCATAGCATCATATCAACCCAAATGTAATCCATTCCTTGGGGCGTTATGATAGTCATAATTATTCAGTTGAAACTTGGTGAAGATAGAAAGAAAGGGATCATCTTCTGAGTGAGGCCAAAAAATGTATACACATGCGCACTGACACCCCGATATTGTACGATTTTACAATCATGCTTAAAAATGCATAATCACCTCGTATTGAGCCAATCGTGTGTTTTCGACCACTAAATTTTTTATTGATACTTGTACATAGCATAATTATAGCCATGTCTATTCGCCGGTGCAGCGCCGCAGAATTCACACTATCCGTCGCATAATGTAGCGATTTGTGCCACAGAATTCTGCGCAGAATTTCAACTTTCTGTCCGCGGATTCCTGGAGGGACAGCTTGGTGTAGGAACCTGGAAGCAATGGAGGTGGCGCGGTCTGAGGAGGCATGAGGATTGAAAACCCTCACGTCGATGAAGGTGCGCTCAAACCGGCCACCCCAGATACCACTTTTCGCAACGTCGAGACGGACCTGCTCAGTCTGGATAGCGGTGCGATACCGGAACTGCTCCCCAGTGACCGGCTGCAGGTGGGGCTCCACGGAAACATTGTGAGCCACTCGCTTCAGCATATGGGCAGTGAGGTCATGCACCCCATTGTTCCGCACTGACGGAAACCCACAATAACCAGTGGGGCAAGACAAAGCGTGAGCGACTGAAACTGATGTGGCTCCACAGCTGCAAGATGGTGACAGTCGCTGTGGAAGCCAGCCGTAACGCAGGTGAATTCCATCGCGGAACTCACCCTTGGTGAGGGTCAAGCCATGCCGCTTCAAGGGCCGGCAGGTGAGCCAGGAAGATGCTCCCTTCTCCGACGCTAGAGCAATGACACGCTGCCACGCAGCATCCACAGATGAAGACAGAAGTACAGCATCAGCCCGAACCGAGGCGTCAACTGTGTTCTTCACTTGCTTCTTGGCGGCGCGCACATCGTGAATGGCAGTACTTAATTCCCTATCTTGGACCAAGACGCGGCTTGTCAGGGGCGCAGTGATGTCACGAGAAGACTGGTATTGGGAGGCTCGCGACGATGGGTGAGGCAGCCCAAGACCGCCGAAACGACACGAAAGAGCAAGGAGGCTGCGCTCTTGGGTATTCACCGGTCGTCCCAGAAGGGCAGGGATCAGCAAGTTGGACACAGCAGCATCAGGTGGACGCAGGTGCTCATCCATAGCTGGCATGCTCCGGCAGAGAAAGGTCCACTTAGTCTGTACGCCATGGGTACACGCGGCATACGCAGCTTGAGGCTGAGAGCGGGCATAGTCACTCAGCCGTTGGACCTGTGCGACCCACTCCTTGACCTTCTGCTGCACATACTGCGTGGCGAATGCGGATGACCCGATGGCTGCACCAAGGCAGCGGCATCCATCTGCCTGGATAGAAACATCAGTACCAGCGAAAATTCGGATGGCCTCGTCGAGGAGTGGGGGCTTAACCCTGGGACGGACTTGGCTGGATTTGGGAAGTAACCATATTGGGGGCCCTTCTCCGCCAGCCGACCCCACCACGCTCGGACGCTCCTCAGCTTGCCACCGGATCCGGCATCATTTGCATACTATGCCTGCACTGCTCCTTCTGTTGCAACAGCCTTCATAAGTAAGATGATGCCAATGGCATACATCGCCATGGCGATGGGGTCGCCCTGTGTGGTACCCTCGCATGACAAGATTTTCTCGCCGCCGACGAAGAGGCTAGCGGGCTGCCGGTAGGTGTTGATCACGAGTTTTTGGTGGAGGGGTCATCGCTATGGACCTTAGGCTTAGACACAGATTTCACAGATACTAAACTGACTGGCACAGCCTGCTCATGCAAACTGAACTGACCAGTACAATGTACAGTCAACTTCGAATTACACTTTGCTAACTTCGAATTATCAGCACAAATCCCAAAAAAATTCTATGTAAGTGGAATCTGTGGGACTTCTAATTAACCAAACATATCAAGTTCGAGGTTCGAATTATCAGGATTTGTTTATGCGGAAATCGTATTGATAGAAATCGGTCCTGGAAAAACTTTGAAATAAGCCATATTCGAACTATCAGGATTCCACCTGTAATATTCGTTCGTTGTTAAAGGGGAAGTTAAGGCAAAAATTAAAATTTCACCAGTTGTAGTCTTCGGGGTGCTGAGTCGAATGGTCTTGGTCCGAGAAAGCTGAGACGCTCCCTTCCTACTTGAATCCCAATCGAACTCGCGCACTTCCACCGAAACTGGGTGACTGCGCCTTACTAGATGGGGATTTGTATGCAAAATGTCACTAAAAGCGCCATTTCGTTCTTATAAAAGCACGGATGACCGCGATTGGCCCATATGTTGTAGTCTTTTGGACGCTGAGTCGACTGGTTTTGGTCCGAAAAGGCTGCGATGCAGCGTTCCTCCTTTATTCCCAATCGAACATGGTTGAACAAGCGGTCACGTGCTCCTGGGTGCCCAAATCACCTGGTCACCACGCCAGCAGGCGACAACTTTCACACCAAGGTTCAACTCGAGTTCAACTCGAGTGACAGGACTGCACCCAAAAAAGGTCAAACAGGCTAGTAAGTTGTACCCTGCAGGCACGGTGACCAGGTGACTGGCGCACGCAGGAGCACGTGACCACTTCTTCAACCATGTTCGATTGGGAATACAGGAGGAACGCTGCATCGCAGCCTTTTCGGACCAAAACCAGTCGACTCAGCGTCCAAAAGACTACAACATATGGGCCAATCGCGGTCATCCGTGCTTTTATAAGAACGAAATGGCGCTTTTAGTGACATTTTGCATACAAATCCCCATCTAGTAGGGCGCAGTCACCCAGTTTCGGTGGAAGTACGCGAGTTCGATTGGGATTCAAGTAGGAAGGGAGCGTCTCAGCTTCCTCGGACCACGACCATTCGACTCAGCACCCCGAAGACTACAACTGGTGAAATTTTGATTTTTGCCTTAACTTCCCCAGAAACAGTACAGTCATGTATTCGTTTCACCCCTACAAGTTGAAGTTAAAATGTACTTGTAAATGGCAGTTTTGCCTTCTTGCATGCCCTTTCAATCTATGCAGTCTGGGTATTACTATTAGTACTTCCTAATACTAAAAGGAATGTGTTTCATGGTACAATCTAGCAAGAGTACTCTTGGATCTATTATGTTGTAGAGCTGCGAAGCTACTACCTCGGTAATAATCAGCCCTATAATTATACTAGTAGTAGTCAGCGTTGTGGATGATGGCCTCTGGTAAAACAACTCGAGAACAGCAACAACACCCTCAGACCTACGCAGCGTCCATTGGACTGCATACCTTGAACCTCACGAATAACGGCAACTGATAACGACACTTTTCTCACGCACGATCACGGGGACGTTATTCGCAATGTTGCCTGTATGCCTTTGCAAACAGTAGGCTGAAAACCCAGATACTAACAATCCAGGCATCACATGCACACGGATAATGCATTCGGCTATAGGGCTTGAAAGTGATGACGTCAAAAACGGCCAGGGAGTAGTAAGTTGACATCAGATTTCTATTTTGGATCCACTAAGGGACCATCGCAAAAGTTCGCAGAAGCCCCCGAAACGAAGACCGTTAGTTTCGGGCCTGGCCCCCCTCCCTCCCCCCTCAAACGAAACGACAGTCACAATATGGGCTTCATTATTTCACTTGGATGCTCACACATAATAATTATTATAATATACTACACAAGCATTGTTGTATCAGTGTGTAACAATGTACAGCACTTTATAAATGCAACGATGATATCACCTTGCAGTGGGTGATCTAAGAACGAGAACAGCTAGAGCTATGCAGTTGTATCCTTTGAGCATGCTAATCTATATCAGCTCCTACATGTCGTCAATACTTTTTTGAATTGAAGCCCGGTTTGCGATTTTCGACACCGACTCCCTCCCCCCAAACGTATGCTCTTCGTTTCAGGGGCTTCTGCGAACTTTTGCGATGGTCCCTAAGGTGTGACTTTGCTATTGCCTCAGTATGTGGGTGCATAGCAACCCACTCATGTCGTATACAGGGGTGACTTTTACTTCGCCACCAGTTGTAACCCCGCCCCCAGTAGCCAAATCAGTCAGTTTCACTGGCTACATCACCTTGCTGTGAGTAAGACCGCTTGAAATGTGCTTGTATCCATACAAAAACTGGGTCCAAGTGGATCCAGTTTTTGAATTTTTTAAATGTGTCGCTATGCTGTGACGTAGCACTGTCAAGCCCTATTGGGAGAAAAAACAAGTTGGAGGAGGATCACCATCCCCCCCCCCCCGCACCCCCTTCTTCATACTTTGAAGTTAAAAAATTTTGTGTAGGCATATTGACTTGTATCAGCAATGAAGGCAGGCATGGCAGGTTAGTAAGCTGAACAAGTAACCACCAGCAAAATAGACTACACGAGTACACAGAGATAAGTTACGGAATGCAAGGAGAGTTTGTTGATTATTTTCGAAAAGTAGAAATGAAGCTGGGGAGGAGAATATCTCAAGTCCAGAAAATGAAAGCACTGGAGAAACAAAGGCGTGGCATTTTGGTGAAAGGGCGAGGCGATGCTGACCACACTAATGGCCATGTATGAATAAAATAACGGACAGTCGCTCCTTGATAATGGAAGTCAAGGTCAGTGTGTGTTGGAGGCGTGTCCAGCTCTAGATATTTTTTTAATTTGTCCACTGCTAAGTAAGGAGAGTTTAAAAAGTATCAATGACTCTGTGTGTGTGTGTGTGTGTGCGCGCACGCGCGTGTTTGTTAATGCGGCCGAGATTTTCGCTATCACCAATCACCAGGACCTCACTCGCCACTCGAAGTTCTGTTCCCCGTGACTGAAACACCGTCGGTCCTTTCAGGACCAACCATAACCTGCAGATGGGCTGTATTGTATTGTGTGTGTGTGTGTGTGTGTGTGTGTGTGTGTGTGTGTGTGTGTGTGTGTGTGTGTGTGTTTGTGTGTGTGTACAGCAATACCACAACAACCATCATACATTTGACGCAGGCTGAGGTGGGTGGACGTTGTCAGACTTCTTCTCCGGCTGACTGTACAGCATTGTGGCAGCAATCACCAGGGAGGCACCTATAACAAAGAGACTATAGGAAAAAAAGTACACAAAAGCAAAAAAACAAACAACAAAAAACAACAATCTGTAAGGGGTCGTCCATTATTAACGATCTTTTACACGAAATGAAAAAGTTGGGTTTATGGGTGGGCAGGCGAGAGCCGTTGTTGCCAGTGCAGTGGTAACTCCAAGTGCGGATCCAGCTGTAGCTGCCGAGAATCGAATATATCCTGCCGAAATTGCACACCAGGAAGGAAAGCAAAATGCCGTAACTCTCCTCCCGCCACCCAGTCAACGAATCCCGTAGGTGTTCAAACGGTGCGCCACGTGCCGGCACAATCACCCACATGCTCCCACGGAGGGGTCGGAAGTGGGCGACAGGCTAATGCATGTAGTACTGATCAACATCAGACGACCACCAACCACTTGCCTACCGAGCTTAGCCCTCAGAGTCAAACTGCGCGACACACCTCAACAGTTCATACTGCCCATAGTCTTAGTGCGACCGCCTCCGATATGCCTGTCTCTTGTTCTCAACAGCTGGCTTGGGACGAACTTGAAAATGAGCAGAACCGTGCACTCCTCCAGCCCGTGACTGTACGTGACACTACCCTATTGGCGAACTTGGACTCGTCACAATCATCTGAGCTGGACCTCCACATGGCCCACCCTGTGCCCGAACCCCTCATTGCACCTGCCCCACCACCTGGTCCAGGGGTCAATGATCTCTCCAATCTCCCTGACTACCCGCGTACCCTTGGAGATAGATTCTCACTAGGGGATTTGGGCACACAGGAGACTGCTCGCTGTATCAATACTGCCTATGAAGCACTAGTCCACTACCGACCAAATGCAATGCAGGTCCCACGGGGTAACACCGGCAAGGACTTTGTGTCTCAACTCGCACAGTACATTCAGTGCTTTGGTGTGAGAGGACAGTATGAGGGCCAAGCTTTCAAAGTTGCGATGGTGTTTCAAATGCTGCTGCTACAGAAACCACTTGGCCCATCAGAGAAACCAGCCAGTACACTCGAACGGCGGTTAACAGAGTGGAAGAAGGGGAACCTGCAGACCCTCATCCACGAATGTGACACTATTCACAAGGAGCTCAAGAAGCGTCAACAGAGAAGCAGAACCAGCAATGATGATGCACGTCACTTTGCATCCAAGGTGACCAGCGGCCGGCTGGCATCTGCCTTGAGATCACTTTCCGCTGGGGAGTCTCCTGGTGTGCTGGGACTGGATGACAATTCAGGTGACTACACTGTCCGGGAGATACTGGAAGCGAAGCATCCCCCACCTGCACCCGCGTCCATGGAGGCGTTGCTAGATGGTGACGCTCCACCTACACTGCATCCAACAAGATTCTCTGGGTTAGACCGAGAAACGGTTCGGAGAGCTGCCCTTAACACTCATGGAGCAGCAGGTCCATCTGGCATTGATGCAGACGCGTGGAGATGGATGTGTACGGCATTCTCGGAAGCATCAGACTTGCTATGTGATGCACTGGCTGCCTCTGCTCGACGGCTTGCAACAGAGCATGTTGACCCAGTCACCTTGGAGGCGTACGTAGCATCCAAGCTTATCCCGCTTGACAAGGACCCAGGAGTTCGCCCAATCTGCATAGGCGAAGTGGTGAGACGAATCATTGGCAAAGCCATCCTTGCCCTCATCAGAAGCGACATTCAGGAAGCGGCAGGAAGTCTCCAATTGTGTGCTGGACAGGAATGCGGCATTGAGGCCGCAATCCATGCAATGCAGCAGATGTTTGACCAAGACGACACCGAAGCAGTGTTGATGGCGGATGCCACAAACGCTTTCAATCAGCTTAACCGGGAAGTCTGTCTACACAACCTGCGCCACCTCTGCCCATCCCTAGCCACAGTAGTGATCAACACGTATCGCTGCCCAGCCAAGCTGTTTGTTGGAGGTAGTTTTATCATGTCGGCTGAAGGAACAACCCAGGGTGATCCTTTAGCCATGCCCATGTACGCCGTTGCCATTCTTCCACTGATCCATTACCTGTCAGCAGCGAAGGCCACTCAGCTCTGGTATGCGGACGACTCGTCAGCTGCTGGGAGGATCATCCGCCTGCGAGCATGGTGGGACCTTCTCTGCCAGCGGGGTCCGTTGTACGGATACAAGCCGAATCCATCAAAGTCTGTGCTGGTCGTGAAGCCACCGCACCTCGAAGAAGCCAGCAGAATCTTCGAGAGTACTGGTGTCACCATCACCGACGACGGTCACCGCTTTCTTGGAGCAGCTATTGGCACCTCTGGCTTTGTGGATGGCTACCTCAGCCAAAAAGCAGAGTCCTGGAGGAAGGAGGTCCTAACCCTCGCTGAGATCGCCGACTCCCAGCCGCAAGCTGCCTTCTCTGCCTTTACGCATGGCCTGAAGCACCGTTGGTCGTTTCTGTGCCGTGTGATGGAGAGGGCCGCTTCAGCTTTAGGCACGCTGGAGGAAGCAATTGCCTCCCGCCTCATCCCCTCGCTCTGTGGTCGCTCGGTGGGCACCGTTGAACGGAAGTTGCTAAGCTTCCCCTGCAGAGATGGTGGCCTTGGACTCCTCGATCCCACTGCACTCTCTGGCCAGTACAAGGCGTCATGCACCATCACCGCTGCGCTGGTGTCAAAGATCAGCTGCCAGGACCCAGCCCTAGGTGACACCCTCGACACTGTCCGCCAGACCAAGCGGAAACTGGCTAGTGACACCAGACTGGCCACAGGAAGAGCTGCCACTGAATTTCTGCTGTCACTCCCGTCGGATCTTCAGCATTGCATGAGGCTAGCCAGCGAGAAAGGTGCCTCCTCCTGGCTCACATGTCGCCCCCTGAAGGCGCACGCATTCGCTCTGTCGAAGGGCGAATTTCGGGACGGCCTGGCACTTCGGTATGGTTGGACTCCATCTCATCTTCCAACACATTGTGCCTGTGGTGAATCCTTCACCATTTGCCATGCTCTGTCGTGCTCTCGAGGAGGATTTCCCTCGCTCCGGCATAATGAGGTTCGTGATGTGACAGCGTCTCTCCTCAAGCGTGTTGCCCACAGTGTCGTGCTCGAGCCACACCTGCAACCTATCACTGGCGAATCCTTCAGGCATCGTTCTGCCATCACCAACCCTCAAGCGCGGCTGGATATAGCTGCGAGTGGTGTCTGGGGTGGACGGTTTGATCGCACCTTTTTTGATGTAAGGGTTTTTAACCCGTTTGCGAGCTCAAACCGTACCACTTCAGTCCCCTCCAGCTACCAGCGTCACGAGCGAGAGAAACGGCGTTGCTATGAGGAGCGAGTCTGTGAAGTCGAGCATGGCTCCTTCTGCCCCGTCGTTCTCTCCACATCTGGAGGCATGGAGAAGTCAGCGACATCGCTATACAAGCGCATTGCTGACATGCTATCGGAAAAGTGCCAGGACCCCTACTCCAGGGTAATGGCATGGATCCGCTGCCGGGTAAGCTTTGCGCTTCTTCGTGCCTGCATTGCCTGCCTACGTGGAGCTCGTCGTCCCATCTTCACTCCCTCCGTCACAGCTGCTTCGGTAGATCTCGTAGTTGCCGAGGCTAGGCTCCGATAACTGAATGATCCTCCTTGAACAGACTCCTGCAATCGATGTTATGAGAGTTCTCCCATTAATATTATTACTCTTTTTCGTATTATTAGTTTGTTTCTTTTGTTATGATTTCTTGTGTTTTTCACTCGGCTTTATTATCATTTAACTTATTATTTGGTGCACATTAGCGCTACATGGTTTATAGTTTCCCTTTTTCTTGATTTTGTATTTAGCGCTTTCGGGTGTTAATATTTATTTTTCTTATTTTTGCACTAAATTATTATTTTTGGCTACCGTTCTGCTTTCGTTTCGCGTGTATTATTCAAAAAGTTTATGGGTGGGTGGGCCAAGGAGGGTTCTGTTTAGAAAAATTGATACTGTATTTATAGTCAACAAACATTGGGCAAATATTATTATTTATATTCGGAAGAGAAAGACCAAGGAACTACAAGTTACGCTATACTGTCCACTAACACCACCAGTTACTAAACAATCAGCTCATGCGATAACATTGCACGACACTGACCGAGTCCATTTATTTTCGGCCTGAAAATTGAATGCGGCCAAAATTTATACGCGCCGAAAATGTGTAGACTTACAGCAGGTGAAAAATCCATCATCCATTCTATGTGTCAAGTCAATGCTGTATGTCTGTGTGGCAGGTTGGGGGAGAAGGATCCCTTCGAAAATTCGACCCGGTTTTTATACATGTGTCATATCGGCCTCGGCAGCTGACGGGTTCTCCCGGGCTGTACGACAAACTTCCCCAGGTTGTACGACGAACTAACTACTCTGCCGGTACTAGTTTACATGTTGGGTGAACGTGTTCCCCTCATGAGCGCGCGTTTGTACGGCAGTTGTCTTTTGTATCTACTTGTCACTTTTATCAATGCATGGGCCCCGGGATGTTGTATCTGCTAACTGTCTTATCGTATACGCTGGCTGTTTAGTTAATTCATAAATAATACGCATTTCTCCTTGTCTTCTCCCATTGGTCAATTCTGCATAGCAACAAGCTCTCTATGGTCTGATTGGTTGGTTTTTCCCGCCTTTGCTACGCCTTTGTCTAACTCGATCCTTTTTGTTCTCGATATAACTCCTGCTGCTTCTGATCAAAAGTACCAACCTTCCTTTGACCTTCACTCTTGAATCGAGCTTGGAATCACAGTTACTCTCAACCTTATTCGAATGACCAAGGTGAGCGTGTGTGGCTGAATGGATATTTGGATCAACTATATTGGTTGATGACCTGGTGGGGTTACTACGGCAATGCGAATGTATACGTTGTAGCCTTGAGATCGGTATTAAGTATGTCCGGCATGACATATTTGGTGCTGTGACCAGGATCCAAGTTCTGTTCTTCTGTAGGCGATTGCTTACGGAAGGCCTCCACAAGCTGGAATGTTTGGGTTGATGTCAGATGGGCTGTTGTCTAAACCGAACAGATCGAATGATTTGACGGCAGGGCAGCAAACAATGATC